ACTGCAGCTGGCAGCGGGCTGGCTGCCGAAGGCTCGGACGCCAGCGCTGCAGGGATTTCGGGAGCTCTGGCCCACACCGAGGGCTCCTTGCAGGCTGAGTGCAGAGGGGCTTTCAGATCGTCTTCACTTTAAAAGCAGAAGTAGCACCAGCACAAGTTTAAGACCCACAATGTTCTTTTTTTGTCATGGCTGGCTAGTTCCCGCTACCGCAAGCGAGCATGAAACTAGGCTAGGAGAGACCACACGTGGTGCTGAACGGCTCATCCAGAGCCTGATCCTGGAGATCTCCAGCACCTACAACTCCCTGTGAAGCCCGCTGCACACTTCCCACCACTCTGCTCACAAAAGCTCAGCATCAGCCTATGAGCCTTAGTAATGCAGCTCAGACAGAAGAGGGCTCATGGTGCTGGGATTTGGTCTTTTGACCGACGCATGTCACTTGCACGGTGTTTTTGGAAGGCTGTGGTGATGGACTCCTCCCTGTGAGGAAATAATCACACACTCAACTCAGAAATGGTTACAGGTGGGATTTCAAAAGTACTGTGCAGTGACCTAACCTGGCTCCCACAGAAATCAACAGTGAAACTTTCAGTGACTTCGACCCGATCAGTTTGGCCAGAGTCGGTAACTCCTGAGGATCCCACCCTACCATCAAGTTTTGCTTCTCTCTGTGGAAATAATAATGATAATAACAGGATTATATATAATTATTTGTAATCGGATAGCTTAACTACAGCAATGAGACAAGGCTGTAAGGGGCAGGTATTCATCAGTGAGACCCGGGGGGTTTCTATGCAGATATTCACGTGCTGATTGCTGGAATTAGCTTTTCCTCACACATGCTGGACAGATGTTCCTCTTTAAAGATACTGGCAATAGGAAGCTACTTTCTTACTGATCCCTGCTCTCTCTAACTGTTCTTTAAAAAACTACCCAGAATCATAATATTATTTGTATATTTGTGCCCCAAGACACTGCTGTCCTTCCTGTGCACATACCCTGCAGAGAACATCTAAGAACTGTCCCTAAGGGACCGTTCAGAGCAGAACGGTTTATGCCAACCCAACAAGGAAGTACCTACAACATTTCAGGTGGGCACCAGCGTGCCAGAAAGACAGAAGCATCACTATTTTATTACCTAGCAGTTTGCCTGCCATTCTGAGACTGCAAAGGTGTAAGGCAACAATCCCTGAAGCAGCCACTAAACCAGCCTAAGTTAAATCAAGAGGCTGTGGAGCACTCGAGCAGCTCCTAGCCAAAACTTCAACAGGCTCCAACTCAGCACCTCGTCTGCAGGTTCCTTAAATAAACCTCAATCTAGTTGCAGATGCAATATCCAAAGCTGAACCAAAACCACATATTAATAACGATGGGAAGATAAATACAGATTTGATGCCAACCATATGGAAGGCTTTATTTTATTTATTGATTTAGTTTTAAATTAACTCTGTTTCATTCCCTAGGAACCGCAAATTCTCTGAAAATTATTTAGTGGAGGAAGGACAGAACTCAAAACAGGCATTGTACCACTTCACCTACACCAGCTAAATTAGCTGCCACGGAACAGCTACTCATCCCAAACCATGGGATTTGTTCAGTTATAAAAACTGATGAAAGGAGAAATACTCTTTTAAATCCTACATGAATACATGTGCTTTATTTGTTGAATACTGCTAATATTTTGTTATTCAAACATTTCATCAGCTGGCAGCTGTCAGTTGTGTCTTAGCTCTCCAAACAAGCTTTTTATCCCAGATTACTCATTTTTAAAAAAAAATCAGTCCAGCATTTTAAATAAACAGACATTAGGTGTGTTCTGTGCAGACAGAATGTGTTCAAACCCAGGTTCCTGGGTCAATGAGATGCTGAACTCAGCTTTCTTCTCTCATCTTGATTCACCAGCACTCTCCACTTGTTCCTTTCAAATCATTGCTCCCTTTCCTTTCTCCATCAATTGTTTTCACCACCCAACACAGACTCCTCTGAACTCTTCCCCTATTATTGACACGGTGATCCTAACTGATGCCCTCAAAGAAAAGCAGCACTCCCGTTCCTTTGTGTGTATTTAAGATTATTTCCTTCAAAACTAGTAAAATAAAATATAATTTACTTTTCTGTTTTCTGTTTCAGCAGACAGAGTAACCACCAAAACTAGATTTCTGTCTCTCTTAGGCCCTGAAACCAAGTGCTACAGTTAAACCGATACAGTGAGAGCTAACAAAACTAGAGCAAGTATTCTGATTTCAAGATTGGCAAAGCTGAAACAAGCGAGAGTTAAGTAAAATTTCTAAAATTCACTCTTCTTTGAGAAGCAATGACAACACTCACACAATTTAATCACAGATTCCAGAACCAAGTCAGTTCTGCTGCAGTGAATCTCTGGTATTAAACCCAAATGGTTTGGGTGCACACCTATATACACAGAGGTTTTACACCAAAATTAATAAGGTATTCATGGAATTGCAGCAATTCCCAAATTTCTCATTAATTTAGAGGTCAGCCTACTAAGACTGGGAACTGAATAGTCATCTCATGTTTGGACAAGTCAATAAGACTGCAGAACAACACCTTCCCAGCATCATTAGCTTTTTAAAAAGAGTAATTAAATCCTTGCTATTAGATCCATTATTTCAAGAAGCACTCCGGAAATGTCAGAGTCCCATCTCAGGAACACTCTGTTTCTATTCTACTTACCTATAATCTATTTAAAACCCTCCAGATTCATTTTAACTAAACTGGTAAAAACTGGCATTTGGGTTTTTTTTTAGTAGGACATGCAGAATTTTGCAGTAGCAGAATGAGACATCTACAAGTGGGACATGTCAGAGAAGGGGCCAGTGACTGAGAATAGGATCTCTGAAGAGCACGCACGAATTCAGCCACACTCTGGCTCTGGACAGGACAAGGTGCAAGGAGACTCATCCAGTACCTATATGGATGTTTGATGTTTGCTCTTTCAAGTTCTGAAGTCATTAATGATGCCCCCTGTGATTACACCCCAAATCATACTCACATACAGTTTACCCATGAAAGAAAACTGCCCAGTGTTTTTTTTATAGCAACCTGAGTCCCCTAGCAGAACAGTGCGTGTGAGAGTAGGAGAAAGGACTAAAAATGCTCCTCATTGTTTCAAGTTTAGTGGTTTTTCCAAGTAATGTTGTTTTACAAATGTTCTTCAGAACATTGTCCCCACCACTGCTGTATATGCAACACCTCTGAGGCTCTACTTAGCACTGGAAACCTGAATCTAGACTTAAATATTAAAAAAGGCAAGGACAGGGTAGAAAGAACCTTGAACTACAAAATTTCTCTTCTCCTAGGGCAGGGAGAAGACATTGGGGAAAAAAAAAAAAAAGGTTTAAAAAGAGCAGGATTGTATTTTTGGCATTAACCCTCTCTATTTAAATTTATGTAAAGATAGCATCAACGACTTCCAAGAAATTTT